AACCTGTGGGGAACTCTGCAAAAAACGCATCTTCGCACGGGCAGCCCGTGCGTTGGCCATTTATTTCTAAATGATGTTGCATTGAACTAAACGATTCCTGCTGATTGAAAAAGCAAAACGTCGTTTCGTTAAATCTTGTCGAAGCTGATGGCACTGCCACCTCTTCGAAGCCGGAACACACAATCACATGCAAATATGCACACGTACAAACAAACACGCACACAGGTCAACTGGTCTCAAGGGACCCAGAATGATGTGCTATAAAGCCTAATTCTATCAATTTTCCCTTTTTCCGCCTTTATTGGCCCTGACGCTGGGCATTAAGTCAGACAAAGTTTTACCTCGATTCAGTCAACAAGCAAGCTGTGAATGAGCAAATTATTTTCAAAATATGCAAGCAAGAATTTTGCTGATCGTACTTCAGTAACAAAGTGCGGTTACTAACGGTGAACAGAAACTGCAACATTTGCAAGTAAAAATCATTTTAAGTCGTTTTTTTAACCTGTCCAGAGCGGTTTTGCCCACTTGTTTACTTTAAAGAGGACGGAAACGGTTTTTTTTTTTCAGCTAGTCTCTAATGGAAAATGTCAGCGATTATTTACGCAACAGGAAATTCATTTTGGAGAAAATTATTTTTAGCTTTTTTTCGATTTAGGAACTTTTGACTGCACAGCGAAGTGCAAAGGTGAAAACACCCCGGCAGTTTTACCTTATATTTCGAAATGAGATCGTAAATTGCTGCGACAAGCTGTTCCTCGACATGCGGCTCGCTGCGGCTTTCGTGATAAAAATCTCCTCGATAGATATAATCATCGCCGATTAACGTCACAATTAATCCACTGCTCTCATTCTTTTGTTCCAAGAAACAGCTCTGCACATGCTTCGGCACGTGGAATTTCGATGGCCCGTTAGTACATTCACCGCCGCACTTGCAACTAAAATTTCTTGAAATCTACTCCTCAGTGAGGCCTTGTACTTTGATTATCCAGTAATTTGATCCCCGGCTATTCTTAGGAATACACTGCTGCTGAACCAAGCGGATGAGATACACTAGCTAGTTTATAGAATCTTAACTGCAAGAACCGGATCTCTGACTCTTAAGTGTACAAATGAAAACAACCTGCTGCTGCAAAATTCATACATAGTGCGACATGGGCACTCCTTCTTGATGCATTGTTTTTTACTTTTGGAACATTGGCAACCTTGCGTTGATTTTGCACTCTGCAAAAACATTGGACTTTGTTTTGGATTGCACTGCTGACGAATGTAACACCAGAATTCAGGATTAGCGAGTAAAATGTTTCGGGATGGAAGAAAAGCGGTAGTTCCTGTTCTCAGTTCAATTGCTATTCTCAGTAACGAATTTGGAGAAAACAACGCTGCCAGTAAAGCGATGAATATTTGTTCATAAAAAACATTCGAGCTGGCAGTAAGGTGCAGAAATATGTACACTAGCTTAATAGAATTGAACCTCTCCTCCCTTCCCTAATTACCTGAGCTTTTAGGATAAATTTACAACTGCACTTTCCCAGCGACTGAAACAACGCTCATCTGTTATGAACTTTCGAGGGTCATTGTTTTTAGTACGACCGCATCCAATGAGGAGGGTGAATCTCCACGATCATACATTCTGATAGTATCGGCAATGCTTAAACCATCTCCAGCCTTCTCAAGTGCAATCTTCATCACGCACTAAACGTACTGAGTTCTCGACGAATAGTTGTAAGTTTCAGTGTTCTTGAGATCCACACCATCCAGCTAGAAGTTGCGCCCCCTGCCAATGCTATGCATCACCCTCCTTCATAACACTTGGGTTTCTAGACCCTTTTCATCAATCCGTGTCATCCACTTCCTGATGTTTCTTCACTAGGCCACCTACAGAATGAGTGAGCTCTCCATAACTGGTCTTGATAATTCATTCCGCAGAAAGCCACCTCTCAGGAAGACTAAGCCTGAAACAAGAACATTTTGTGCCAGGCTCACAACTGGACTGCATTCGTACTTGCTTCCTTTAATTCAAAATAGTTTAGTCATTCAGTTCTTCTAGCAAAGCATATGGTTCAGCCTTCAGCTCAGGCTTTTTTATAATCAATGAAGCCTTCTTGTAATCAATGAAGGAAAAAAAGAGGAGAACTAATACTGAAAGGGGCTTTTTAATTATGAACTTCAGAGACTTTTGTTTCGCTGATTAGGACAGAAGAAACACCGACGTAAAGTTAAAATGCTGAAACGACAATATTTTTTCTGCAAACAGAGAGTACAAAATTCTTCTTATATTCTTCCTCCATACTCCTTGAACTTAGGTCCGGCTCGGCGTGCTTCCTCATTCTCTGCTACCGTAGAAAGATGCAGAAGTAGTTCCCCACAGCTTCCAGAGCCTCTATCCTCGTTTCCGGCTTATAACTAGTAACCTTGCTTTTGTTTCTCAATTTGATAGCATTATTTCACAACCTTGAGCAGCTTCTTTTGTGGCTCTTTGTTCTTGCATATTTGTTTACAGGCACAAAGTTTACTGCACGATTCTTTGATTCGTAAACAGTCACATCGTTCCGATTTAGAGCAAGCATTTTTAGCTGGTTTTGCTGGATCAACCTCACATGAGCACTTACAGATTGCTTGATTAAGGCAGTCCCCACGATACCTGCAAAACACAGTTTTCTTACGTGGCACATAAGATGAAATGCTGGCCTACAAAATTTAAATTAGATACGCAAAAACTGCCCTATAAAAAAATCCAAAAGCGATGCTTAATTATTCATTGCACATAGACAGCGGGAATTGATTTATTTCTAGGTACACAATGAATTAATCAGTTCAAAGACTCAAACCAAAATAAAAAGGAACCACATAATCTACTACAAAACACGGCCACAAACAATTTCCAAAATCAAGCAATCACTTTGAAAAGTTTTTCCAGAAACAGCGCTGAAAAACGAGTGGCTTGCAAAAACAGGATGCGAATAGCCTCTCCACTCATTTAAGATTCCGTGATTTCTGGCCAAAATGGAAATTCTAGCACCACTTCAGAAGCTTCATTTTGTCAAATATTCAGATGAATTGCCTGATACGGTAGAAGAGCAAAATGGAAGAGCGATGAATTGGCTATGCGCACCAGGCGGGCCGCTGCAACCATGCGTTTTTGCAGTATTTTGTGCTGTAGTAAGATCTCGTGGAATTCCAGCAGCTAGAACTTGTGACGTGCTGGTCCTAGAATTTCAGGAAGTTGATTGTGCAACTAGGTGGTACTTGGACAAGGAACATTTCATTAAAATTTCAGGTTTCCAGCTCTTCTGGTTCTCGAGTTAGCATTTTCCCGCTTAAAATTTTTACGAGCCAGTACGCACGGCCCAGACGCGTGATGGTTGGTACCGCGATATTGGGGTGGCGGTTAGTCGGGAGCCCATTGGCAAAATTTTAGCGCCGGAGATTGCTTGGCTGCCGAGTTAAAACACACACACACACACACGTACGTAAATACATATACACACACGCACACCATGGGTCGTCACAATAGGCGTTTTGCATTTGCACATATTCAAAAACGCATAAGAAGCAGCAATTGCCCTTTCATCTAAAACATAAACTAGTTTTTTGAGCGCTTTTTCAATACTGATAAAGTGAAAAAGCGCGTATTGTCGAGAGTCTTTATGTGTGTGTTGTGTGTGTATGTATGTGTGCATACGTATGCGTGACGTGTGTGTTATATGCATGTCCTGAAAGCTATAATAAAATCATTTTAAATGCGCGCTTACACTATCTACGGAAAGATAAATTTTAAAACAAGAAAAAGCAAAAAGGATGCTCTTTTCTATGTGTTTTGCGCTGTAACAACGGTACAAAGCAAAAATTGTCGAGATCCAGCCTGTATGCGTGTGTTCGGATTTTTATCCTAGATTTTCAAATCAGTGACCGGAAAAGTTAGGAAGTCAACATTTCAGCAAGATGACTTTTGTCAGTGTGCTATACAGAAATTTGAATCGTACACCTAGCCCTCAGATTAAAGTACATGAAAGTTGGGTGGAAAATTTACTAACTCGAAAATCAGAAAAGAAAGAAAGCTGAAATTTTATGAAGATGTTTTTTGCCTAATATGGCCTTGAATTCAGTTTTCGCATGTGCCCAATTCTCATATACGAACAAGCCTCTGACAAAGAACTATTCTAAGATACAGATAAGATATAAAGCTGAAATTAGGAGTGCGTTTCTTGTTAATGCGCAACCCTGCATTTCTAAATTCAGCTTGCACGCACGTATATGTTTCATTTGCGGACACATGAAGTCCAGGTGGGGAGTTTTTTAGTCAGGAATCCAAACAAGATAGACAGCGAAATGTTTTTAAATCTATACTCAACCACAGGAATTTGAATTCAGTTTCTGTGTATGCTTACGTCTCATTTATGAGCACGTGCAATTTCACGTGGGAAATTTTTCATATCGGAAACCAGACAAACGGCTGAAATTCTGGGAGGATGATTCCTGTCCATGTGTGACCCTGGAAATTGAAATATTGTTCATATATAGACACGTGAAATTTTCTAACTGGAGAACCAGACAAGATAGCAGCTGAAATTTTCAAAGAGTGCTTCTTGTTTATGTGTGAAAAAAGAAATTTAAATTCAGTTTCCATGTTCACCCATAACTCACGTACAGATGAGTGGAAGTCCAAGAGGGGAATTTTCGACATGTTTATAGTTCGGTTAAGTAAAACCACGCGCCTGCTATTTGGTCCGTACCGCTATTTATTTTTTCCGACGCAGTAGTTGGGAACAGAGGAATTTTTTTATGGCACAGTGAGAAATACTTTCAGCATTTCGAATAAACAGCAGCTTAGACATATTTTTGCACTTTCTGGCATAGTTGATGAAAAAAAAAAAAATAACGCAAAGTGGCTAGGCAATGTTGGTTTGTTTGTGCGCATAGCTTAGCTTAAAAGCTGCAGAACTTAGAAAACTGAAATTTCATTAGCACGGCCCGCAGCATTATATGAGATCGAAAATCTGCGGGGTTCACCAGGCGCTAACTCTTCTCAAGCCCTAGCGCTAACCTCACGTTCAAACTCAAGCTAATTTTATAATGCTAAGAGAGCAAAAAAGCTTTAAATTTTTAAAGTTTTGTACACCATGCATTGAGAAATATATAGCTCTAAATCAAATCCTTAGCAATGAATCTGAACCACAGATCCAAATTCAGGCTAATTATGCATTAATCCTGCAGGTTCAAAAACTCATATTGACGACAGGGTATCGGTGTATGTGTGTTAATATTTTTGTCATGCACCTTCAACTCAGCAAAGGAGGAATTGGGAAGTTGGAATTCCATGGGAAATTCGCAAAGTACTTCATTACTTAATTTCAGTTGCACCATCAGCCTGAATTCTAGAGCCGAGCCGCAATAAAAAATTTGATTTTCGACTTGTTTTCTTGTATTAGAAATTTCGAGCTTTCAGCTGAATCAGGATTGGAAAAAAACTTTTAACCTGATTTAAAGTTTGTAAAAAGGAGCTGAAATTTCGGAGTTTCAGCTTTTATTGCTAGTAAACATTTGCACACGCAGAAATCTGGCATACACAAAGTTGTTTTGTCAAATGACTAATTGACTAACTAGTTTATTGACTTATCTGAAAAGCAAAATTCATGGCTTCCCGGTTTCCCTGATTCAACGGCTGAAAAGACTAACAGCGCATAGTTTTATCGAGAAAATTTCAAGCCACTAACGCACACTCGAAAAAGTTCCCATTCTTTCTCATTTTTTAAAAGTCAAATATTAGGGTACTGTAGTCAGGCAGTTAGCTCTTCCTTCTTTCTCAAAAGTGAATTTGCTCTGTAAATTACTTCCCAAAAGTAAGAACAGTCTCATGAGATTTCTAGCAAGCGTAAACTTATACATTAATAAGATGGTTGCATATTTTTTTTACAGGAGTGCTCACCAAGACAATAAATCTTTATTGCGCTATAAAATTCTAAATTTCCTACAAAATCAGAAGATAATGTCATCTGTGTCGTATATTAGGAGAAAAGGAGCTATAAGTCGACTTTACGTTCTACACAACGGACGTAAGGGAGAAAAAACTCGTTTTTTTTTTTACAGGAATGCTCACTAAGACAATAAATATTCCACATCTTTAGATTACAGTTTTAGAACTGGGTTATCCGGAGACACACACACAAACACACCTACCCAGACACACACGCACACACACACACACACACACAAAACACAATACACACACAAAGAACTACTAGTCTAAATTTTTGATTTTTACTCAAGAAAATTGCAACGCAGGGTATAATTTTTCCAAAACTGGAGCACAGGGCATAATTTTGTATTTCACTGTTTACCGAAACAGCGTTATTATCGAACCCATTTTTAGGATATTATTACCCTCCGAAGAGATGTTTTCTACAGCTAGTGAACACAACGTTTTAAACAGTACTGCTGATGAGTACGGGTAATAATGGATGAGGGAAAGTGACTTACCTTGCGGACTCACAATGCTCATCGCACATGCGTCGCGCCCCATAACATGGACAGCAGTCCGCCGAACAGCGATTCTGAGCCGTCGGACAATCACAACAGTTGTGGGATGAAGCGGCCGGCCTGCTCATACTTGAAGCCGCCTCTGCTTGGCTCTGGCTCCAGATCGATACGTCACCCCTGGAAGACGCCTCGGCTTCGACGAACTCTCGCAACTGGACTCGACCAGTGCATTCACTCTAAAACACGCATCCAGAGTACCATTCTCTGGCCTTTTCCTCCCCTCCGTCGGTCTCCTCCTCATCCCCCGCCCACCACTTTTCAAATACATTTAATTATTATAAGCAGACAGACAGACAAGCCGATATTTGTACATCCGAAGGGCAGCACTCTCAGCGAGTTGTTACAGCTTAAACCTCAACATATCAAGTGAGGCATGATTTACACACACACACACACTCATGCACTCACACGCACATGCATTTACTTGCACATCTGGACACACTTCGCCATACTCGATATGTGCTAACAACTCCCTGCTCATTAGAAGTCTATTTTGGCATTTAGAGGTGGCGGTTGCGACCACCCTAAATAATAGAATGCATGCAGCCCGAACACTGTTCTGCGCTCCACTCAAACGATTAGGACAATATTCTGTTGTCGTTGACACGACAAATCGAATAGCAACATAATTCAATTGCACGTTTAATGAAGGATGAAAACCGCGAGCAACATCGAGCCCCACTCCGGCACCCGGCTAGCAATGCGCTTGAGAACTTGCTTGCCAGGACTGAGCGAGCCGGAAGAAGGCTACAGAGGGTTTGCAGACAGAGTCAAAGAAATCTCACTTGTTCTGACGACTCTGCTCATTACCAAATACATATACAACAAAAAAAAAACCTTTCTCCGTAAACTTGCATGCATGAAATTAGACGAAAATGTTTCAAATATTGTCAGTGTCAAGGCACTCCAATTCGAATAAAGCTGATTTAAGCACATATATATACACATACACAAACACACGCGCATGTAGCGAACGAGCTAACTTGCCTTCGTCTTTTTTATGCGTTTTTTGCAGCTATACAATGCAGAAAACGCATATTGACGAGAGTTTGTCTGTGTGTGTGTGTGTGTGTGTGTGCCTGTGTCTGTGTGTTCGTCTGTACCGATTTTTATGCGTTC